TCAAAAAAGTACTCCAGAGTGTTGTTCAGCATGGGGGTGAGTAGAAAATGAAGGCTAATCATGTTTTGGGTGTACTATTCCTTTAATGTGAGGGATTACCTTTGATTCAATGAGTCGATGCAATCAACTGGTTTTCCTTAGATAGAAAACTTTGAATCAATCTGACTGGATGATCTGGTGAACTGGAAAGTGCCTGGAGATGAAATATGTTGTGAATTGGCGCTTTATAAACTGAATTGATTTGAAATACATAGAGTATTCATAACGAGTCCACAATTATGTCCAACTGCAGCCTAACTTATGTATAAAGCACGGCAGTGTTATGCCATGAAAGGTCACAAGTCAGTGTCCTCAAAGGCGGCAGCAATGTGCCTAGAGGCGCCCGGCTTGCATAAAAACATTTGTTTGATTGCGGTATTAACCTAGCTACTGTTTGCCACCTGCCAAAAAAAAAGGAATAAAGAAAAAGAAGGTTTGCAGTCGCAGCAGATTCAGCATCATGTCTGCTAGGAAATTTGTTGGCCGTGGGCGTGAACTCAGGGAGGATCGTCACACTCTTACCTTCTCACTCAGCCTATGATGGGGATGAAATCTGGAGGAGTACCGATGGTTTTATACCGATGCCATTATACAGTAGCTGTAAGTTAGAAACACATCCAGCGGTCGTCAGGAATGCCTCAAATACGTTGATATGCGTTAAGAGAGATAAGTTACGCATCTGTTACTGGTAGGTTTTGGATAAGCTAGACGGCACGACTTATGAGTAACTTACTCTTAACGTATGTCAACGATCGAATAACTTACCAGTAACTTATGGCTCACATGTGAGCACAGGCTGGCATACGTACTCACCGTATGTCGACGTGTTTCTGTTTGTTTCAGTGTGCTCATAACTTATACAAAATGTACCCATAACTTATCCAACGTATGCCAGCGTTTTTGCCAGATTTTTCGTACGTCAGGCATACGCTGGTATAAATCGTCACGGCGTGACGGGGGCTTTGGTAAAGATCTATTGAGGTATTGTTGGCTACAGCACTGTGCTGCTTCACCCACGTCTGGTCCAGCTCTGTGAAATTCCTCAACCAGTGCCTCCTGTGCAGCTGCACGTCCAAACTAAGCAGCCTCCTCTTGAATAATTCACCTTTTTTTTTCTTGCTGTGTTTGTCGTCGCTCTTTACTTTAATGGTTTTTGATGCTGACTGTGCCTCCAGGTTCTGTGCAGAGAGGCTGCAGTCCCTGCTGCGGACTCTGGAGATCGCAGACATCGCAGACTTCTCCGCCGTTACGCTCATCTCTAACTTTGCAACTCTTGTCAGCACCTACAGCCAAGGTACCAAAACATTCCAGCCCAGATCTTACTCCTTTGTTAAACCTAATCTTGAATGAATCAGATGAGCTATGGAGGTGTGGTTTAGTTTGAAAAGTCTCTGTTTAAACACCTTTTTGTCTTTGAAAAGGTTTTACAATCATCATTGAGCCTTTTGAGGACAGAACCCCAACCATTGCCAACCCTGTGCTGCACTTTAGGTGAGTAAAAATGAAAATGTATGTTTGGGTTTAGAAAAAAATCATCTATTGGTGCCTTGAAGGCTAATATAAAAAAAATCCCCATCTGCAGGTTAAAACATGCTAAACCGAGTCTCCAATGCACAAAACAAACTGGCACAGATTTATTCATTAAAAAGAACCAGAATTGCTACTTTTATTCCTTTTAAGACTGAAAGCTAAAGCGAGGTTTCGTTAATAAAACACAGTACATAAACTGTTGGAGTTTTGCAGCTCTGGAATCCACAGGTGTGAATTTAACAGGGTTAACATCAGTACTAAACATCCTGTTAATATTTCCCCCAAAATGTCTAAAAAGGGCTGCGATATGCAGCCTAAAGTTAAATTAAATGCTGATTTAGAACCAGTTTGAGAGTGTCTGAATATTTAACCTGAGCAGTAAGACCTATTCTCTCAGTAGTTTATAGTCACTGAAGTTAGAGAACATTTGTTTAAATATATTTTCTGTATTATTATATTTCTGCTGGAGG